GTAGACCTGAGAGGTTAATCGTGTATTGATAATTGTACCTCCAGAATTAGCTTGCTACTCAATTTTAACTTATTTCCTTCTTTTCACGGCCAGCTCTGAAAAACGGATGTGCAACCAAACCATCTGCGAAGGAAAAGATAAAGATAAAGATAGCTTTATTTCCATAAGACTTGAGTTATTGAGTGTTAGATATTGTCAGTATAATACGAATATAAAAATATAAAATTATCTTAATATAATTAATTAGTTAATAATAATTATGATAATTAATAACATTAGATGAATAACAAATACATAAACAATATAAAACAACGAATACGTATAAAAACGTCTAACAAGAAAGAGAATCGTAAATGTCATCTGAATATTGTTTGAATAGTTATCTCCTTCAGTTCGATAGGCAATTTATTATACATTTTTACCGTCAAAATAAAAAGACTAATTGATGTAAGAGACAGTCGGTGTGTAGGTATTTGAATTTTAAGATTGTAGTGTAGTGTATTCCTCGGCTTAAACAGTATAGTCTGTAAAATGAGTTTCTGCATCCTAAAGACTTCGCACGTGCAGAAACTTCCCAACAAACCAAGGCGTAGTTGAGACAGGAAAAACCTGAGGGCACACTTTCCTATTTTATTGTGCTATCATTGAAGCGTACTAATAAACTCTTATTTAAATCCTGCGTTGAAAAGGCATCGCCTTAGTTTTACATTCATTTAATATCAATTTGTTAATTTCTGCATAATGTTCCATTTGCTCAGCAGTTGTCTTGCTTGCAATACTAAGTTGCTCAGATAAAGCTGCAGAAAGGGTAGAAACTCCATCATCCGCAATAAGGGAAAAGTAAGTATGGGGGAAAGATGAAAACGAATCATTTATAAACACTATGAACAATAAAGGACCGAGTAAACTTCCCTGAGGTACACCACCATTCAATGAGCTGTAATTAGAAAGATCTTAATCAAGTTAAGGCCTTAACTCTAATATCATATGAACAAAGCTTGCTATCATCAACATCGATCAAGTCAAACGCTCTTGAAGGTCGAAAAAAAAACACATGTCTGCTGCCTTTCTTCTAACTTGCCAAAAATATGCTTATATAAAGAGAGAATATCATCTTACGTTGATCGCTTTTTTCGAAAACCAAATTGCAAGCCTGAAAATTTGAAAGTCTTAAAAACAGTGCTTTTTCGCAGATTTGTGAAAAAACTGATATGAGGATTATAGCTCTATAACTTGAAATAATTGTTGCACAGTCTTTTTTTTGCAGGGTGGTAGTTCAGCCCTGAATTTTGGCGCCTTCTAGCGGATCACTTGCGTTGTGTCTTGCCTTAAATAATCATCTATTGCACCCATCGCCTCGGATGATATGCCCCAGATATGAAGCTTTCCGTATTTTAATATAGAACCGTGACTTATCCTTCCGTACTCTTTGGTACTCTAATAGCTTTTATAGTTGAGGCCCAACTCTCTCAACCAAAATATTGCAGAACATGAATTATGTAACAACGCACCATTTGTATCTTAAGCTGTAGGTTAAGGTTAGATCTGATGAACAATTTCTTCATGCTAATAAAATTTCGTCGAGTCTGCTCAATCCTGGGTTTAATTTCAATTCAGGGGGTCGCAACTTGTTGTAAAACGGCACCTGTTGGGCTAAATCTCCATATACGATTTAATTTCCAGAAACTGTCAGTTTGGTCTTAGGGGTATTTATTGACAAAGACGTTTTGCCGTGGTGCATTATATGGTTCATACTGATCTGATGTTAGTTATTGGGTTTCCATTTATTTTGATTCCTTTTGTTTCTTCTACAAGTGCTTACCACGAATTAAAATTAAAGTCTAGGTTGACCTTTTTTTTTATTAGTACAAAAAAAGACCGAAGTAAACAATCAACATTAAATTATAAACTCCCAAACAATTATTAAGTCCATTTATTTTAAGAAGATTTCTCCCTCTTACCCAAAAAACTTCGTTGATTCTCTTGTATATTCCATGATCGAATGGTCCATTTTTAATGACCAGCAAAAATCCGCCATAGTTGCAACGTTCTATCGAACTTCATATCTGCGTTTCACTTCTTTTATATCTTGCCTTGCTCCTCACTGACGGCACCAAGATTTTCGGGAAAGTAGTCCAGACATGCGTGTAAAAATCGAAGTTTTATACTCATATTGCATTCCATTTGCCTAAATTTATCTAACGTGTAATGTGGATATTTGTTGTTTAATATACAACGGTGGTAACAAAATTTTTCGTGGAAAAACAGCAGAGTGGGGAATATTTTTTGATCCTAGAGTTGTGGCCAGTTCTTTTTCACAAAATTTTGATGTCCGTTTCTACTGTACCACATTGAAAACCGTCGCAATTTGTATTTCATAACTGCTGCCTTGGTTGAATTCTTCAGAACTATACTGAGAACTATAGTTCCTGTAATTGATTTTCTCAAACAGTATTTCCAGATTGTCATATCATTCTTTCATTTGCACAGAATGAGAAATAGGTACAGAAGCAAGACCAGTAACACATTTCTGTTGTGCAAAAAACGGCTTGGAAAGACCATTACTAAGTCACTAAGTTCTGGTTGTGAAAATAACTGCGGAACAATTTATATATTACCAACATCACGAAGGGTATCTTCATCTATTTCGGTTTCATAAAAAGCTGTTCTTATCTTCTGCTAAATTGGTGACTTGAGGTTGTTTTTCAATGCGTTCAATGTTTTCAAAATTTTTAGTATTATATCAATGACCATTGTACATACACTACCCCATTTCATTGCAATTCTAGAAGGTAGAACTCGCGTTATTCCAATATCTTAAAGGTGCATATACCTTGCAAACAATATGTGGCGCCTAGGAATTGTCTCGATCACCATCACTAAATCTATCGACCACAAAAGAACCACAAATATAGCAAAACGTATCTGGAATATTTTTACAAAGTCTTATAGCCTTAGACCACTTTATTCTTGGCTTTTTTCCATATGGGCTCTACAATTACTTACCCTATGCCGCATTAAATATGGACCACTCCGTATAGGATAGACTAAAAGTAAAATTTCAAGATTTTTGTGCGTATTTAACATTTAACATTTCTTAAGCTGCGTCATAAAAAAGACACGTTATGGCAAAATAGACAGGGTTTACGTGTAACCATGGGAACGAAGGCGATTATAGGTTGACTGGATTCACTATGCAGCCTGTCTCAACCAGTAACAAATAGAACGAGTGAACTTCAGGGTAAAGCACATTTGGAAATTTTCGGGATATTACCGCACCGGTTTGGGAGCAATCGGATGTTTTCCAAGATTTTACCACACGACTTGAATTTTGACGTTTGTCAACTCTGACGTTCATGTCAGTGAAAGTATTCATGTTTAGAAAAAATGTAAAAAAAAAACTAACTAAAAGCTGACAATCGTAGAAAAAGTATATTATGCAACATGTTTCATAAACTTTTTAAGTCACTCGTTTATGAAACACTCGCCCCGCTCGTGCCAAATGAACTCGTGACTTAAATGCCACTTATCGCACTTGTTGCTATTGCAATAAGCGTTAAGTGCCTTAAATAATGTGAAATGCGTACTATATATATTACTTAGTTATAACATATATATTATTTAGTAATAATTTAGCATTTGTGGATGAATTCTAGTAAGGTATACAGTAGAAACTACCTACCAAAAAAAATATAAAATACTTGGTAATAACTGCAAAAATCAAATATTTGGTTTTGTTGATCGTCTCTATCTCTGCATAAAGGCTTGTAATGTACTTGTGTATTCCTAAAATTGCATGAACATAACTGAAATGTATTAACACCAACATGAACCGTATGGTTTTAGTGTACCAATTTTTCGAAATGTTGTTTAAACTTATAATTTCTTATAAGTCATTTAAATCTACTTTCTCTTTTATACAAGTTCCCTCAAGCGGATCTTAATATTTCTTCCTTGTACTTGATCCTCCCAGTGTTTTGGTCGTGTTGTCCCCACCTTAAAATGAATACTCCATTTTCCTCAGTCTTTTTTGACGCTTAACATCTTGTTTCTCTGCACCTGAGACATCTTTTGGGTTAAATACCTTTATATTATATACCAGAACAAAATAAATTAATTTTACTTTGTTCAATTATATCTTTCTTGTGTATAAGTATCTAACTATGCATTTACCACCTGAAATTAACTAAATTTCTGTTTTTAAAAAGTAATAAAATGTCAATTTAATAAGATAAAATATTTTTAAAAAGTAATAAATCACTGGTTGTAGCCTAAAAATTCTGTTTTTTTAGCTATTACCCTCTGTTACACTGAACATGAGACACTTTGCCACCAACTTACAAAACCGACTGATGTCAGGTATTTTAATGCCGTCTACAGGTTATTCCGAGAGGACGATATACTTTGAGACACACGATACCTCTGCTGTGTCGATGGATAACTTGGGGTGAAACTTGTGTGGGTGCTTGCATAGTGGGTGCTTGCATGTTAATATTGTAACGGCAACGGTACATTTACAAGAGAAACGTATGTTCCAAAAATTGGAAAAAAAATGAATAAATAAAATAATTTTTTTGACATTACGAACTAGGAGAAGTAGAAGTAGAGGAGAAGTTTTCAAATGACATTCTACAGTCTGAAAAATAGATTTTTTGTGAGGGACTGGAGATATTAATGACATACAATAAACAATTTTTAGCTTCGAAAATATTTTACCTTCATGGTACCATGGACACCTTGTGTAATACACAAAGATTTCTCAATTAGGTAATTATATTTGTGTTACTACAAAAAAAAGAGCAAATCCCACGGAAAAACGAACGCTCCCGATTGAACATTCCGCTGAACATCCAAAAACGGAAATTATAACTCGTAACATTTCTCCATCGGGAGATTATCCGGATCATCCGGTAAAACTCTTACCTGGTCCTCGATCGCATTATATTGTCCCAGACGTCCCATTTTATCGGAAAAACGCTAACGAAAAGTTTCCATTTCAGACGACGAATTGCTGTTCAAAGACCAATGGGGCGGAATAAGTCTCATGTATGCGTCGAATTTGTCGGTGAGGACACTCATGTCGAATCAATCCTACGTAAGTATGATAAATTTATTCGGACACTTTCGAACATATCATCGCGCTGCTGTATAATTTTGCGGGTTCTGAATATCATTAGTAGGTTTTGAAAATAATCCTGCTTTTTCTAAAATCAAACAAAGGTGATGAAAATCCATTTTACAAAATAACTAAGGACTAGAAGTTCAGATTTTCAGGAAATTATATATTTTCACATGACAATTGTTTCGAAAAAACCATGTCTTTATCAAATGTAATGATTACAAACTACCAGCTAATATATATAACGAAAAATGACAATAAAACCTTAATTAATGTTATGATAATTTAAGTTCAATAAAGGAGAGGTATTTAAATCTAATTGATCGTTAAGCATTACATTTCAATATCTCATTTTGTTAATCTCAGTGGCTTCCAATAAACTTCATTTTCTATTTTTTATGGCTGTATGTGAAATATCAAAATTATCGTCACAAATGGGTTTTTCTGTGTTTAAGTGTGTAGCATAATTAGAATCTAGAGTAGAAGAACGAAGACACGAGTTCAGAAAATGGGATACAAACAACATTTATGTAAAGGTAATACATTCTGGATTTTCTCATAGACTTAATCTTAAGTTAGACAAATTAATTTCTAATACAAAATATGTACCTTTCGAACCGTTGAAGATACAAAACTGCAATTTTCCTAACAGAAGCTTATAAGAAATGGCCCTGTTCCGACGCCGGTATCCATCTTATTTTCGCGATTTTCCACTGTTTTTGGACATTTCTATGAAAGACGATAAGTGTCCGAAATTTGAAGAAGTCGACCTCATGTTTGGCACATATATGCAGCTTTGCCCCGACTGAAAATGGAGGGGCTGTGGGGTCGGGAAGTATTCTAAAAAAATAAAAAATCTCGTGTGCAAGGGTCTGCAAAAAAACATCATTTTTCAAAAACCGTTTACGAGATCAAAAAAATTCTTAAACCAGAGAGAGGATGCAGGATGGCAAATGATACGGCTCCATTAACTTTTATTCTTGACAATTTTTCAATAATACAGGGTGCGTCGCAAATTCAAAAAAAAACTGAAAAACTGTTCTCCCTATTATTAATAATTGGTTATAACTGAAAGACTATGATTCAGATCTCACTCTCTTTTATATTGAGATATAGCTCGCCTAGACAGCAACACTTTTGTTTCCAAGGTTTTCACCTATTGTATAGGGTGTTCCGATATTCCGTGCTAAATGAGAAATGTGTTAAGCGTCCTCAATTTGCAGATGTCAACTTCAAATTTACCAGAGAAGTAAAAGTCCGTGTGCACATTTAGACAGTAGAAATTGGGTGCAATCAAATTTTACTAAGTATTTTCGAAAAAAAAAATTTTTTTGGTAATTTTAGCTTCTAGAAAAATATGTTTTCCTCCATAATCGTTCACCCGATCGGCAAAATCCTTTAACCAACAGACGCGGATGATCCAGTGCAATAAAATTTATTTCAGGCATTTTTTGGATTATATACAGGATTTTCAAATTATAGTCAAAAATCTAAAAGACCTAGAAAATTGTTCTATCACAGAGCAAATTATTAGCCGCAAATGAAAAATCGTAAAAAATATGGCTAATTGGTTCAAACAGTGTCACAGGCCGCATCAAGAGCTACAATTTTTGTATTTCACGGTTTTTGTCTATCACATGAGCTGCTCGGGATATTTGAAAAAATCCATATTGAAATCGTTATTTCGGGGGCTGGCAAGATGCGATGACGTCATTGATTATTATGGCGCACTGCACGGTTTTAGAAAAAACTTATTTTTTCGAAAACCATTTATTATTTTCAAAAAACTCTTAAACCAGGAAACGTGGAAGATCCAGGGCTATAACTTCTACTTCGAACATTGTTTGAATCATATACAGAGTGTGTCGTTTATTCACAAAAATTCTAAAAGATCCTAAAAATTTCCGTTTTTGTGGGTAAATTATTGGCGATAAACGAAAAACCGTTAAAGATGGGATAATTTCATTTAAATAGTATCGTAAACTGTGCCGAGAGAGAGTTTGAGGTTTCGTCACTTATACAGGGCGCGAGATATTTGAAAAAATATCATTCGACAACGCAATTATTTGTGCAAATTTTATTATTTACCGATGTTTTCTGTAACTTTAAGTTCGACGAGATGTGAAGGTCATTTTATACAGGGTGCATGCGCAATTAAATTACGTCGATTTTGCGAAAGTTTTATAGTGGTCCTGAGGACGAAGCTATTCGTGCTAGGCGAGACAAGCAATCTTGTTTCTTTTTGCATTTGCATTTTTATGTTCTATTTGTTAAATTAATAAAGTTATTAAAAAAATCTTTATGTGTCACACAATGTGTGCTCTGCAGGTACACAGAGTGACCGCCTTAATTATTGTATTTTTATGTAAATTAAAATATTTATATATGTATAAATTATTGTTTCGTGCTTGTTCCAGATGAGACTGAATCCCGCAAGATTTTCGCTGTCACCTGATCAGAGATATTTACTGCTGGCGCAGAACGTCCAGAAATTATTCAGGCATTCTTTTCTTGCTCAGTACACAATCTACGATATTCAAACTGGGTGAGCTGATATCTCTTATAATACGGAATTTTACAGTTCTATTTAGTTGCTTAAATTATAATTTTAAATTAAATATCGGGGTTGTCTGGAAGTTTTTATATGATGCTATTCTTTTGACAATAATAATAGACATATACGAGACCTTTATAACAAATTTTTATGACTTGCTGGCTAATCCTATGAATGATGATGATGATGATGGCGATAATTAGAATGATACAGACAAACTTTTGATAACTTCTCGTCAGTGAACACCATTTCGCCAAGTACTTACTTATGTTTCGAGTCGAAATTACTACGTTAATTGTTGTGTTAAGTTGCAAAATAAATAAAATTAAGGGAGGTGAAACGATCAAAGGATATAACTGCACAAAAGTAACATATCTCCAGTAGAGCCATTTTACAACTAACTAAAATGATTATAAATAAAATAGATATGTGAGTTACAAAAATGGGAGCGGGTATAGGATAGCGAGTTATCGAAATAAGGATAGGTTTGCTAAAGAAAAAGTCCGCAAATTTGACTACCCAAAGAATTCTAAATTTAATACCATAAGGAGAGGTGAAAGCAGGAAAGTAAAGTATAGTTAGATTCTCGTTTTCATGGCCTCATGGTTTTATTCCTCGCAATACAAACTAAACTAAATTACAATTGCATTTTGTCGCTCAAAAACGAGGTAAGGTAAGAAGACAACTCAAAAAGGTCAGAGTTAAAAAAGTTCATTTCACAAGTTTAATTTAATTAAATGAAACCTAACCCTCTAAAATTCTAGAAGGCAGCGAAAATTTCAAGAAAATCAGGCAAAAAATTAACATATTGTAAATATTTGTTTTTTTTTTCCTTTTCGTTGAGCTGAGCATTGGTGCATGCTTTTGAAACAACCTGTACCTGTACAGCACTACAATATAATATAAAATAATACAATATATATCTAGAAAATTGTTATTTATTTTACAAAGTTTAGGAAGTTATTTAGATATTTCCATAAAAAATGAGAAATGTATGAAAATACATCATTCATAATGTTTCGATTCAATACATTCCACAGTGGAAGAGTTGTACATGGACGTCGTGATATTTTACATGAATTATTAGATAAAAATAGGCCTAATCATCATTCTCAATAATTTGCAGCATTTTTTTACATACCAGAATGTTTTATGTATATACAGTGTCTGTTTAAAGAATGTACGGTATATGAAAAAGATTAAATATTTATAATTAATGAAGTGCAAAAATTAATACGTTTTGCCATATAAAAATAATTAAAAAAAATTAATTGCTATTTTTTGTCGACGGGTTTATATAACAAAGTAATATTTTGGAAGTATGTGAATCGCAGCAACTTTCGCCTATCAGTTTTTTTGTTATTTTCTACAGTTTTTGAGATAAGCTATCATCCCGAGATAAAATGCAACTCGGCACAGGGTGAGCCAACGATAGTGATGGTTTTGAAAGTTATGCGAAAATGGTAAATACAAAAATTGTAAAGATTATTAGGATGCACAACTTGAAATTATTTTAAAGTATACACGGTGGCTCGAAAAGGCGTGCCGAATAACATTTTAAATTTTGTATTGAATTCGATTTAAAATTCGTCAACTTTTGTATTAATAATAATAGATGCCTAAACCTAAACCTGTGCAATATTTAAATATTTCTAAAAAGATACTAGCTTTCACATTTGAAAACAAATTACTATAGGGAAATTATTTTTGAACCCAAATTTTAAATTAGAGTTAATGCAATTTTTCAAAGAAATTTCCACTGGCTACTGCAATACTTTTTACAAAACTTCTGGATTCCTCCTGGATCGGTTTTTGTTGATTCGAACTTGCTAGCTTTCTGCTTTTGCGCTTGATGTTCTGTCCATAAAGGCTTGTTAATTTTTCAATGAATCCAGAAGTTTTTTTAGAAAGTACAGTCGAAGCTTTATATGGCGAAATTGAAGGGATTGCTTTTTTTTCGTTATAAATATTTATAGGCCCTTGAAAAATAACAATACTGCAGATGGTAATTGTAATATTTAATTATTTTATATACATATTTTAACATCTACTTAGGAACATTTTATATATATAGTTAAGGACTACATTTAATGTTTCAAATAATCATTTTCTTTGGAATTTTTTTAGTACGCCAATACGCATCTCGTACTTTGGCTTGTATTTTCACCATTTCTTCGAGATGGTCCTCTTCCCCATGATACATAAGAAAATTCTCAAGCAGCTTAACTGATTATAGGGCTTGTTGAATGGTTGGTCCCATATCAACTTCTTCATCTTCTTCTTCCTCTTGGTGCTCTTCCTCACCCTTTCTTGCTTGTTGTAATATGGCTTGTTCTGCCAAGTCTGCTGTTGTAAGCAAATCCTGATCTATCACCATAAAATCTTGCAACTCCTCACTTGTAAACGTAATTGTTGTTTGAAACTGCTTTATTCACTCGCTTAGTAGCTGATTATCTTCCAAGTCCTGTTCGCATTCTGTCTCGGTAGTAAGTCCTGCATGACGATAGGAGTGTTGAATTGTTTCTGCTGTCACCTGTTTCCAAGCTTTACTAATAAAGTTAGCTGCATCTAGCATATTAATGGAAAATTTGTCTTCGGGCTGTCTCCATTAAATTCAAATTTGCGATGTCATCCATGCAGACTTGTTTGCCTTCTAAGTGACCGGCAAACGCTTGATGTTCTTAAAACATCGTAGATTAGTTGATTTCACAATCATGACTAGCTCTCTTTTTTCTCTCCCAGTCATATTGGCAGCTACTAACACTGTTATACGTTATTTAGAAAGTTTTCCACCCACACACTTTTCGCTTCCAAATATAAGAGTTTTATCTGGCGTCAGCAGGGTAATTTTCTGCTAGTTTTGGCAACGTCTCCTCCAGCCAATCGTTAGTGACGTTTCTGCCGACATCAAGGGCTTCGCCACTTATCTCTTCATAATTTATATCATGTCTCTGTTTGAACTTCCCCAACCATCGTTCGGAAGCCTTGAGATTGATAATGCCAAACTGTTAACTTTTCTGCTTTTAGTTTTACGATAGGTCCAGAGAGTGCTACGTTTATAAGACGTTGCTGTTGGAACCACTGTTGGCTTTCTTAGTTTTTTACTAGAACTGCCTGCCGCTTTAGCCTGAATGATTTTATTTTTGGTACTTCCAAATCGTGGATACAGTCGACGGTGTAAGTCCGTATCGACGTCCCACATCACTTTTCTTTTCTCCCCGTTCTATCTACCGAATTAAAGCAACTTTATCATCTAGAGATAGAATTGTTCGCTTACTCGCCATGTTCGCCGTATTCACTAAGTCAAATTAGAACTTATTGAAACAATGTTGTGCTTTTATACGTACCGATAAGGGCATTAGCATAATCGCTTATTACGAGAAAAACACTTAGGACGACGAGGTTCTCGGTAATTAGATTATTAGGGTAAGGAATTCTGAGATGGTAAGAGATTTTACTAATTACAAGTCGGCCTGCATTCCTTACTTTGTTACCTGATGTGACCTTTTTGCTTTCGGTATGGAGAGCTAGAAATTCTTTATACAGCTTTGTATGGAGAGCCAATAGTACAAAAAATTTTGTTCATAATACAGAGTTCTACGTTATACAGAGTTTCGCTATAGGGAGTTGTCACTGTATTACATTAGCCTCTGGAAGTTTCTTTGAAAAATTAAAATTCCTTTACGGAGAGGAGATCAAGCGCAACAGCAGAAAGTTTAGCCAGTCCGACTCAACAAAAACCGACGCAGGAGGAATCCAGAAATTTTGTAAAAAGTTATATGTAATAGAATTTGCTGCAGGGTGTTCACAATGAAGAAAGATATTTGGACAATTTTAAATTAAAAATCTGGATTTTCTTAAATTGCACACCACATATATTATCATATTTTCCACAAGTTTAATAAGTATATCATATCAATACTTTGCTAGTTATTTTAACTTTTCCCACATTTATCCTTCTTACTACCTGAGACTATTGCTATAATATTAGTTGGCCATGATGAAACTATTAGCCCACAGGATTCTGTTAAGATTAAAAGATGAACAAGTTAATGAACTTTGGAAACGTAGATAGTAGTTGGCAATTTTATTGAAAATAACTGCCAATTTTTAAATTCACAGCAAAGTAGACAAAAATATTTACTACAAATTAATTTATCTTATTTGAAATTATTATTGTGGCGCAACAAATGTTCAAAAATATGCCCTTCAACTTGAATACACATGTTTTTCTGTTCTTGGACGTTCCTTAGCATAAACCGTATTAGTCTCATTTTGTTATGACCTACTAATATTATAGGAGTAGTCTTAGACATTTATTTAAATGGAGCACCCTGATTTTGTCACATTTCGCAGAAAAGTACCGCACCCCCATCTAAATTGTAGAAACTGTAAGCCATCAAATCATGCCAACCATTTTTTCAAAATCTTTGAAATTTTTTTTAGGTTATTTTGGCTTCTAGAAAAAAATTGTTTTCTCGAAAACTCTTAACTTGGTCGGCAAAATTAATTAATCAGAACGGTACATATTGGAAAAGTTAAAATAAATCGTATTAAAGTAAATAATAATTATTAAAAATAGGTATACGACATACTTTATAAAAGTTGTCTGCTTTTGTCAGATCTTGGAATAACTATTTGGTTTGGAAAAAGAAGAAGAATTTCGAGACAAATTCAAAACAAAATTTAAAACAGAGTTTGTTCACCCATTTTGAACCACCCTGTATACTTAAAGGTAATTTTAAATTGTACATCGGAATAATCTTTACAACTTTTGTAATGGGATAAATGACCTTTACTCTATCGTTGACTTGCGTTGAACCAGTGAATTATTGAAAATGTTAACATAATTTTAGCTTCTACGAGCCCTAACAACTAATTGTTCGGACGATGGCCGAAATAATAAGAAAACAAAAAAAAATTATTTTTTTATTTCACATAAATTACATAACAAAATATCAAAAACATACCGAATTTGCTTGCAAATAAAT